TTTAAAAAATGTTTTTAGAAAAATATCAAAATTGTTTTTGGAAGTATAAAATGCATTTACATTTTTTTCTAATATTTCTTTGGGTGTCATATCATGATTATTTTCGGATTTCTCAAATATTTTAGGAAATATTATGATTTAGATAAAATCCCCCACAAAGTAATTCTGTATTTCTTCAACCATAGGCTCTATAAATCAACTTATAGTCATTAAAAAATAAAGAGATTTGACATTCTAATATTGAGATTGTAATCCATTTGAAAATTGATTCCCTGATGGCTGAAATATAAACCCTAAGCCTCACAAGAGGAAGTGCCATTTGGTAAATGTCTTAGAATGGCATCAATAATACTTACATACAAAATAGAATATGTTTACTCTTTTTCAAGAATTTAAGGAAACAGATTTTGTTCAAAACTTGCATTTGATAAATTTTAAATTAGAAGTGAAATTGAATGACTGACAGTTGCTGTTTGATTCTACAGTGATTATTCACAGAAGAATATCAAATAAAAAAACTAAATTTGTGGATATATATATATATATATATATATATATATTAAGAATGTAGCCTTCAATTCAGAATCAAATGTAAATTACTTAAACAAAATCTTCAAACTGGTGCTGTATATTTTAAAAAAGTCAATTTCTTGAAACAAAAAATAATTCTTTCAATATTAAATCTTATTCAAGTTAAGCCCCAAGAGCCACTCAAAGTAAAATTTCTCAGTCAAGAAAATACTATTAGTAAATGAGGTGTGTGAGGGTAATAAGAAATGAAGATTATGAGGATAAGGAAGAAAGATCATTGACTCTTGATATGAAGGGTCCAAGATTGAAGTGTTCAAGGAAGCACCTACTTGGGAGTCTACTCAACAAAGTGGCAGTTCTTCAGAAAAGGCTTACTGAGTTAAACTTTTTGTTTAGGACAGATAAAATGATGGTGATTTGAATCCATGAATGTAGCATAGTGAGTCCCAGCTATAAAGGTCTGAACTGATGGAACTAAAGAATGGAGCTCATCTGAACATTTGCCATGGAAATAAATGAATGTTATTAGGAGACAAAGAGGGGAAAGAGAAATATGAAAACAAAAGACAAGAAGGCAAGTAAGAAAACAACAGAAGACAAGGAGAGATAAAAGAACAAAGGGGACAAAGAAAAGAAGAAAATAAAGAGGACAAGGAGAAAAGAGAAAAAAAACAAGTAAAAGAAAAGAAGAAAAATAAAATAAAGAAGAGAAGGAGAAAAAGAAAATAATAGAGAGAATGAGGAAAAGAAAGGAAAAAGGAGAAAAATGGGAGAAGTAGGAAAAAAGAAGTCGGAAGGAGAGAAAAACATGGTGAAAGAAACAAAAATGAAGGGGAAGAGAGAAAAAATGTCTGAAAGGAAAAACAACTGGAGAGAAAGAGAGAGAAAAGAAAGAAAAGTCATGAAAGTGAAAGAAAAACAGAGTGTGAAAGAGAGAGAAAAGAAAAACAAAGTTTAAAAAGAGAAAAAAATGAAGAGTGAAAATGGGAAAAAAAGAAAAACAGTGTAAATAAAGTGTAAAAGGGGAGAAAAATAAAGGAATAAAAGAGGAAAGAAACAGTGAAAGGTCAAAAAAAGATAAACCATGTAAAAGAGAGAAAAAACAAAGGGTTAACGAGAAGAATAAATAAAGGAGAAAAGGAAAAGGGAACAAAAACAAAGGAAAGTTGAAAGTGAGAAAAAAGAAAAACAGAGTAGAAAGAGAAAGAAAAATAGTGTAGGGGGAAATGAAAAGAAAAACAATGGCATAAAGAGAAAAGAAAAACAAATTGATTTGAATGTAATGTAATATATGCACAGTGCCAGTGTGCAATTTTATTGCACACTGGCACTGTGCATATATATTTGCATTACAAATTTAATCTGTAAAACAAGTATTTTCCTCTGTATTATAAACCATATTTGTACATTTCTGTCTGAGTTTCAGGGATGAGGAGTTATCATTATTTACACTATTTATATTCAGACTTTTGTTCTCATCCATCTCTTCAGAAATCAGGCAATCATGGGTCTCCACAGCTTCCTGTGCATATATTCTTTATTCTCCAGCATAATCTATCATATGTAAAACTTAAAAAATTATGTTAGAGTAATTAACAGTTGTTTTAAGTTCAGACTAGTTCATGTAGTTAAACTTATCTGAAATTAATATGAAGTGGTATTGGAAAGTATCTAAACTAGGCATAAAACCAAGTACAACATGACTCCAGTAAATAATATATTTCATATATGAATGATATATTATATACATATTATTTAAATTTGGCCAGCACCTTCTTTGAAATTAGTCCTCTTTGGAATGTACAGAAGTGACCACATCACGTCCAAAAAAAGTTATACATGTTCAAGTTTTCGATGAAGTTCTTCTGGCGACTGATTCCTCATGGATTAGTTTATGAATCTTTGGCAAATGAGATTCACCTCAATAATGGCTAGCAGTTTGATATATTTGTGTTTCTTTTAAATTTTGTTTTGCATAGAGTGCAGTGTATATGTGTAACTTAGCTATGTGAAAATTGGTGTGTAGTTAAAAATATGTTTTCTAATAAACGTATAAATTTGGCTTTAATTTGTTATTTGTTAATGAGTAAATTGTGTTTTTCTGCTACACTTCCATTCTCACTTATTCACTCACACTCTCTCTCATACATAAGTACAATGTTTCTTGAATTTTGTAAGTTTTCATCAAATGTAATATTTTTTCAGAGTGTTAATCTATTGTCATTTTTTACTAAGGAAAATCATACATATAAATGTTCTTTGCTTTAGAAACAGGAAAGTTTCATAATATTTACTCCAGGGAAGAAATATAATTTTTTAAAAGAAATTTTTTTGTACAGCCAGATGGATAAATTGGAAACAAATCACACACAGTAGCATGTGTAAATAACACTGTCATTGGTGAAAATATTATGTAGGTAGGCTGAAAAGTTAACAGGCTGACTATGAAGGAGTTGATGCTAGAGTTGTGAAATTTTGCATGCATTCATTTCAACTCTTCTTATTAATAACTGCATTGTTTATTTCCAGGTAAAATAAAATTTGATTGTTGGAAGAAGACTTCTAAAGTAAGTAATAGAGACTTCTCTTGAAAATGAACAAATTTCGGCATTGTGATGTTATCAAGTACCAGCAGAAAAAGGGTTTAGTCCCCAGGGACATTCGTGCTGACATGATTGCTACATTAGGGGATGACACTCTGGCTTTATCAACAGTGCAAAAGTGGGTAACTGAATTTAGGAAGGGAAGGAAGAGTCTTCAATTTCACCCAAGGTCTGGGCCACTGAGGAAAACATTGATTGTGTTCACCACATGGTGATGGATGACAGGAAATTGACTATAAATCAAAGATTATGGTATTAGTATATACTGTGAGAGATTTGAGAATATTCTGCAGAATGTAATTGGTATGACAAAAGTTTCTGCTCAGCAGGTGCCACATCTTCTGGTATCTGATCAAAAAGCACACCAAGCTGTTATACATCATGGGAAAATCTGATATTGAGGCAGATCCAGATGATTTCTTTGAACACTTCCTAATCTAGTAGAGTGTTAGGTTCGTCACTTTGAGCTAGAGACAAAGAAACAATCCATGCAGTAGAAACATCCCACCTCACCTACTCCAAAGAAAGACAAGGTTGAGGCCATTTCATGCAGATGGAATGGCCTCAATTTTTGGGGATGCAAAATAAACAAAATGTTTATTGATTATTTTCAAAAGGACCACATCATCAATGGAAAGTACTAGGACAACTTGCTGAAGCAGTTATGAAAGGCTATCAAGACCAATCAGTTGTTTCACACAGATAATGCTCCAGCACACAAGCTCTTGATTTCAATGGCTGCAGCTTTGAACTAGTTGATCACCCTCCCTATTCTTGTGATTTGGCCACATCTGAATATCATCTATTCTCTAACATGAAAAAAAGTTTGGTGGAAACTAGTATCACAGTTATGATAACATCATATCTGCTGTTGATGACTTTTTTGAACAACAGGATGAAAGCTTCTTCACAAATGGGATCCAAGCATTGCAACACCAATGAAAGAAGTGTGTGGACCGCAAGATAAAAAATAAACCTCATTTGATCACATTCCATGAGAGTATCTTGATCAGCCAATGAACTTTTCAGCAAACCCTCATACAAAAACTTCAATTTTTTAATTAGAGAAAAAAGTATTTACTCTAGAGAAAAAACTCCATTTTTAAGGCAAATGCTTATGTGTATGATTTTCTGTAGGGAAAAATGACTGGAGCATTTTGAACGAATAATTATTCATAATGTGGCCAGACTCATGATGAGCCATATCTCATGCAGCCCATAAAAGGTTGTCCATGCCTGCTGTAGATATTAGGCTTATCTTGAGGGTGTTGCCTATTTCCCATCAAATCATGTAGTGTTTGAATTGAGGTAAAAACTAAGATGTCAAATGCTGATTTATAAGGTAAGTTTTGTCACTTAGAAATGTATTACAATACTCTTTCTAACTTTTGTTTTCAATTTGTCCCTGGGTCAGATTAATCGGACTAAGTAGATATCAAGAGAGGGTGATAATATCAAAATATCAATATCTTAATATCAAACATACAACATATTTAGAAAGTATTCAAATACAACATTTCATTAGAAAGAACTGAACTTCACAAATTACTGGAAAGGATGTAAATACAATATCCACAGATATAATATGATTATTATTAGGAATGTATAAGTGTTCTGACACAAATCACAAGTGACTTGTATTTGTTTTTTTATTAAATGTTCATCTAATACAAGGCCCAAGATCCACTCAAGTAGAGTATTTGTTAACAATAAAAACTTGATATAATAAAAATTCCTCCATTTATTCCTTCTGTTTTCACTTTAACTGAATTCTGAAATGCTAGTATTACTAAAAGATTTGCTATGCTTTTTAGTTCAAGAAATCAAGATATTTACATTTGCATTAATAAAATAATTGGCACTTACCTTGTCTAAGTTCAGTTTCACAGTAATATCCAGAGTAACTAAGTGGGCATTGGCACCAAAAGCCATCTGTAGTTCGTTGACATGTTCCAGAATGATAACACTTCATGCTGTCATCACAGTGTAAATTCT